GAGAGAGAGAGAGAGAGAGAGAGAGAGAGAGAGAGAGAGAGAGAGAGAGAGAGAGAGGGCTGAGGGCGGTATGACTGGTCAACATAACTTGACCAAGTTGACCTATTGTTAATCGAATCGGTGAAATTGAATATGTGGATGGCGTTTGTGGCCGGTTTATTTTAAGTTTAGCGATTCTGTTTTCTACTCTTTCTCGGTGACGATGATAAAGTTCTTCGAATCGTTGAAGATTCGTTGCTGTTTACTATTTCTTTGTGATCGTGTATGACCTTGCTGTTTGTGACTATTGCTGTTTACTATTCTGCTTTCCACAAACACTTAGAAAGACAGAAGACTTCAAGAGCTAAAACAGTGATACAGAAAGCACCAGCCATACACTAACAAAGAAAACATAGAGTCAGAGACAGAAAGAGCGAAGTGAGATTCTTCATTGGGGTCGCTTCCTGACTTTTTTCGCGGGCGGAGGTGCGCTGGCTGCACCTGCTTGTTATTATTATTATTATTATTATTATTATTATTATTATTATTATTATTATTACACATGCTCCCAATAATACACACATCAAACGTGCCCGGACTCACACACCCACACATGCAAACTGACAAACAAACAGACAGACACAGGGAAAGGCAGACAAACAGACAAAATGGACAGAATATGCAGTGAGACTGTGCCAATTCAGCCCATAGCAACAGCTATTGACTCTCCAGCTATTCAAATCTTTTCTTCTCCGTACACTCTATTTTAAGTGGAATAATTTTACTTGTAACCTTGCATAATTGCATTGCATTACTTATCCGCGCTTACTCTACTATACTCCCGTCTAATTATTTAGTATAATTTCCAATGCCCTTATGAAGGGTACAGCCCGTACTAGATCCATCTTGAAGAACTAGCAGTTTGCTAAGCTCTACCTCTTCACTCACCGCACATTTTCGTAGTCCATGAGTTCTTTTACTCTTCCATGTCCCACTTGCCTCCTCCTCCAAGGGGCGGTTGTTTGAAATTGCTTTGTCTGAAGTGCATCATCCCCTGAACTGCATCTTTACGGGTCTTGAATTGTGCGTCATTTGCAGGCGATGATGGCTCGGATGAAGGAGATCACTGTGTGGCATTCGACTGCGGGCCTCTCCAAGGAAAATGTCCCAGCAAACGGATGTGCACTGCCAAACAAACATGGTGGCTGGATGATGACGACATTTACCATCCGTTTGAATGGTACCTGTGCAATGGAGTCGTCGACTGCTATGGTATGTCCTCAAGTCGATTGATGAAAAGAAACGGCAGCATCACTCACATGAGTGACGAGTCACATCACTAAGATGTCACAGTGTGTCTTGATTTCACAGATCATTGTGCTCTCTCGATGTTGCATTTCATCATCATTCTTACGCAATCTATCCCACCATCTAGTGAGTCTCATTTCCTGCTGCCTTTGCAAGGGCCTGGTCTGGTATGAAGACTTGTCCAGGTTGAACTACTTTTGGCAGCGTGTCTTCTGAATCATCCAATTCACCTTACATCTTCTTCTTGATCTTCTTTGTCCTTGCTGCTTCTTGTTTTCCAAACTTTTCCTCTCTTCTTCTTCATCTTCTGCCACTGCTGCTGGTTGGCTGCTGCTGTTCCTCCTCGTCCACAGAGCCTTTTGTTCTCGTCATTCAACCTTGAAATTTCTTGTTGTGACGGGTGCTGATGGGACATTACATGGGACTTGCTTTTTGCACACAGATTTGCAGTTGTGTGATCTTCAGATGCTCCAGATTTGCATTCGCAGGTGTGTGTTGCACATTAATTTGGCTAAATGCAAGTTCACCCAACAAAGGCTGAGTATGACAAACTGCTCTTTTTGGACTTCCACTAAATTAATTCATCCATAGGTCAAACCTTGGTATCTCCCTAGGATGGATTTGAGTAAATAAGTAAGTACTCAACACATCAAGAAACCCTCACTCACACCAACTATGCAATGTGTGTGTGTGTGTGTGTGTGTGTGTGTGTGTGTGTGTGTGTGTGTGTGTGTGTGTGTGTGTGTGTGTGTGTGTGTGTGTGNNNTGTGTGTGTGTGTGTGTGTGTGTGTGTGTGTGTGCGCGTGTGCATGTCTGTGTGTATGTGTCTGTGTGTGCTCTGCCAGATGGAAGCGATGAGAAAAAAGACTTCTGCAAGCCTTTCAACTGCACTGACTACGGGGGTATGAAATGCCCGAACGGGGTTGAATGCTTGTGGACAGAGACAGATGACAGCTCAGATGACCCTGTGTTCAAGTTCTGCGATGGCATCCCGGACTGCAAAGATGGAAGTGACGAGGCTGGGTGGTATTGCAAAAACCGTCTCTGCTCCACTCATGACAGAGACGAAGAGTTCGCAAGGAAGGCCTACTTCCGTTGCGATGGAGGGCGATGTGTGCACAACGTAGCCTTCTGCAATGGAACGAAGGAGTGCCGAGATGGCTCGGACGAAAAGAATTGCCAGTCCAAAACTTGTCCGGAGGGATTCAGGAAGTGCAAGGATGGTCAGACTTGCCGTGCTGCAGACCTATTCTGTGACGGCAAGCGCGACTGCCCGGACGGATCTGACGAAAGCCTCCAAACATGCGGGTGTCGGGACTTGAACCAGCGGCTCTGTGCTGACAATAAGACCTGTGTTGCCAGACGAAAGTTCTGCGATGGAGTACGGGATTGCCCCGACGGATCAGATGAAAATAGGGAATTTGCTGGATCAGGCTGCATAGATGTGAGGTGCAATGCCAGCAACGGCGAGTACCAGTGCCCAACGGGACCATTGTCGATGTCGTGTCTTTCCAGATACAATTTTTGCGATGGCTGGAAGTATTGTGCGGACGGCTCAGACGAGGAGATAGCCAACTGCAGGAAGCTCCCATGCAGAAGTGATATGTTCCGATGTAAGGACGGCAGTTCTTGCGTAGGCCCAAATCAACAGTGCGACGGGCGTTATGATTGTCGAGACAGGTCTGATGAGAATTCGAGCTTGTGCAAGACTTTTGACTGCAGCAGCACCAGTAGAGTGAAGTGTCCGAGCGGGGTGGGATGCATGGACTCGAGAGAGAAGCTTTGCGATGGAAAACGAGACTGCGTGGATGGCAGCGATGAGACACGCGCTGCTTGTGCAAGCATTACCGGGTGCAATGCTGAACAAGTGCTGTGCAAATCTCCCCGGAAATGCAGGCCAGGTGTTTACTGCGACGGCATATATGACTGTAGAGATGGGGCTGATGAGGACCCCAGCTACTGCAAGAACTACACGTGCCCGAGTGAAACGTGGCGCTGCAAGAACGAAATTCAATGCATCGGAACCTTGTTGGTGTGCGATGGGAAGAACCATTGCAAGGACGGTTCAGATGAGGAGGCTAGTTTCTGCCAGTCTTACAACTGCACATCGCTTGAAGGAACAGGCTCGTCCCGCTTCAAGTGCCCAACGAATGACAAGAAGTGTGTGAGGGGAACACTGTGCGATGGATACGCCGTGGACTGTGCTGATGGTAGTGATGAGAGTGCTGCCTTCTGCCAGACGTACAACTGCCGTGCGGATCAGTGGAAGTGTACAAAGACTCCGCAGTGCATCGATGTTGAAAGTGTGTGTAATGGAAATGCCGTTTGCAAAGATGGCACTGATGAGAGTGCAGAAGTTTGTAAGACTTGGGAATGTGCTCAGGGCTACTGGAAGTGCAAGGATGCGAGCAAGTGCATCTCTGCATTCAATTTCCTCTGTGATGGGTCTTCTGAATGTGACGATGGCTCTGATGAGTCTGTTGAAGTCTGCTCGACTATCAGATGTGAGGACTTCAGCAGAGTCAGATGCCCTGACAATCCGAACAGATGCTGTTCATGAGAGGCAGAGATGACAGGACACACGTGTGTGTGTGTGTGTGTGTGTGTGTGTGTGTGTGTGTGTGTGTGTGTGTGTGTGTGTGTGTGTGTGTGTGTGTGTGTGTGTGTGTGTGNGTGTGTGTGTGTGTGTGTGTGTGTGTGTGTGAGAGAGAGAGAGAGAGAGAGAGAGAGAGAGAGAGAGAGAGAGAGAGAGAGAGAGAGAGACTGTGCACAACTAGCTACTCTGCTTGGATTGAAAATTGTGTCCTCCTCTCACTTTCTTTTTATCTTCAACCTCTCTGTGTCCTATCATTCTGAACTCTTCTCCCAGGTTACTCCAAGGCTTCTTTGTGTGTTCTGTGTGAGGTCACACTCAATTCATAGGAGGAGTTAAGGTGACCAACATCCAAATTCGTGATTTTAACAAGCTTAGGATTTCAAAGAGAGTATGTATTGATGATTTTTTGTTTCCCCCTCCTCTTTGGCCTCTGTCTCAGAACGTTGTTCACCAGAATTCAGTTGAATCAGTTCAATGGGGAGTGGTCAATGGCGGGTTGGTGTTTGATCCTTCGTGATTTTGAACTCACAGCGTGAGGGCTCTTGTCACATGTGACGTAAAACACATGTGACGTAAAACACATGTGACAGCCAATCGTCAGTTTCGCCACATGTGTTTTATGTCCATGGATACTCCACCTAAGTTCTTCCCCTGAAGATAACACTCCCTTGCGATGCATGGATTACGAAATGTTTTGTGTTTGACGCAGTCATGCCTAGGGTGTATTATGTTGGGGAATCGAGGAAGACAGCAATGGAACAGACTGAGTGCGTATTGTTAGGAAATGTGACTTCACTAATGTGTTCAGCAGCTGGATTTGCCTTGTCTTTTGCTTTATTCCTGATCCTGGCTGTCACTCAAGTGCTCCACTTGTGTAGTATGAAATTGTGGATGTTAATTATTCATCGACAATCCGTTGTAATTTTTACGTTTATTGAATTATTTCAAACTTAGATTTCATTTCACAAAACTATTTGGATGATTTGCAAACTGCACTGAACAGAAGAGTTGCAGTCTGACAAATCTGAGCTTTTCTGACAAAGTGACGGACCGAATTCTGTCTTTTCAACTCTTTTGTTTTTTTTTTGGATTGCTGAGATCTCCAAATCAGGGTCTGCTGAGTCTGACTGTCTGCTGGAGTTGTATGTTTCCATGCGCTTGCTTGTAAGTTCGAGCCTGAGTCTGCATGCCAATTCTGTTGTCTGTCTTGTCTGTGCATGCCCCTGACAATGGTAGGATCCAAGCCTGAGTCTGCATACCAATTCTGTTGCCTGTCTTGTCTGTGCATGCCCCTGACAATGGTAGGATAGTGAGCAAACGCTTACTTATTTATTTATTTATTTAGAACGGCCTAGGGCCGTATCCCAGGCGGTGATAAGAGCAGCTCCCTGTGGTACCGCCCTCACGTGGCTCCAATCCATTGGTGGGGAGCTGCAATAGTACTCTAACGAACAGGGATGAAATTTAGCTGTACAACTTAGAAGAGTTAAAAGGGGGCTGGTAGGTGAAGGGGGTTCCGGTGCAGATCTTGGTGGTACTATATACTAGCTAAGCGCCCGTGGTGCGGGCGGTGCGGGCAATGCCCACAAATTAAGAAATGTTGTAGGCAACCTGACACAGACCACTTGCATAAACCGAGACAGTCTTAAAAAACAAAAAAATGAGTCACAGGGTAATAAAGAATAGCCTAAGACTGGCTACGGAGTCTGAATTTAATTGACAAATAGCTTAGCATCAGTGGTGCAGGCGGTGCAGGCTACGCCCGCAAAACGGTAAAGAAAGTACCATAGAGCAAAGGAGAGTGTTGTAGAGTGTCATAGAGTAGAGTAGAGTAGAGTAGAGTAGAGTAGAGTAGAGTAGAGTAGAGTAGAGTAGAGTGTTGTGGAGTAGTGTTGTGGAGT